AATTAGCTATTTTTTTTATTTGCTGATATTTTCATTATAATGGAACAACATCTATCTACCATTATAAAATGAATAAAGTCAATCGCTCTAAAATGTATTATTAAATAATTTATTGTGATTAGTAGTACTATAGATGATGGACGACACACGAAAATATTACGTCGTTCAATTCGACGATGGAATTTAAGTTATTCCTCAAAATTGGTTTGTTGATAAGACTCGAACAAAAGCATATTGGCCAAATTATACTAACTTCAAAACTTATGATAAGGCAATCAAATCAACGCAAGATGTTGACATCGTTCATTGGACACAAGTCACAGTATGCGAAATTATAGCAGCTTCTGGTAAATATAGAAATATATATTTTCATAATACATGAAAATTAACTATTTCTTATTTTATTATGAAATAATAATGAATTGTTCCACTTTTCGATAAACTTCAGCTCTTCTCTTACTTCCTTACACTCTCATTCTCTTACTCTTTTACCCTTTTGTTTATTCATTAGAAAAAATTTATCTAATGAATAAACAAAAGAGTAAAAGAGTAAGAGGACGTAATTTAGGGCGAGTTATTCCATTTTTGGATAATTTATCCAAAAATGGAATAACTCGCCCTAAATTACGTCCATTAGAGCAGCAATATTTGGTAGCATAATTTGTTATAGTGGATCATTCAAAAATCTTGAAACAGATTTGAACTTTGAGACAAACAAACTCTGAACTCTGTATATACAGTGATGGGAAAAAGTTCCGGAGCGGTCAAATATTTCAAAAACCATTGGTATTAAAAAAAAACGCTGAAACACGTGAAACGATTTTTCAAAAAATCTATCTTTTGAGGGGGGTTAGGACCCCCCACCTCTAAGGGAGCACGTGGGGCACGAGGGGGGTCGAAAATCTTAAATGGCAACATAGGTCGAGTGGGGGCTCATTGGAAAGGTCTTTTCGAGACGAATCCAAAACACTACGCATAGAGGGCGCTGCGTTCACTTTTGGCGGGAAAATTCAATTTTGACAATTAGAAAATTTTGACCATTTTGAAAATTTCAGGGATGGCAGTAGTAACTTAGCGAGGTTTTAACTGCAATTTCAAACATCCTGCAATATGTATGATCAGTCTTTTCTAACAATACCGCCGGCATTAGCATTACCCGAGATGTACCGCGTGGAGGTTGCACGGTCGGGTTTACATCTCTTCGGGGTGCTTTGTTCAGGTGGTTCCCCTTGCCGTCACCTGTTTGTGTGTGTGTGTGTGTGTGTGTGTGTGTTGTATTTAATGTATTAAGTGTTCAAACTGATGCCCGTGCACTGCTTGGCAGTGACCCATACGTATGTAAATACTATCCTGCACATTTCGCAACATTTCTGGTGTGATTGAATTAGAAACATTTATTATCCTTGCTTGCAATTCATTAATATCGGCAGGTTTTGTCTCAAACACTTTACTCTTCAAGTATCCCCAATAAAAGTAGTCCAACGGTGATAAGTCCGGTGATCTGGGCGGCCATTCAATCGTTCCTCTTCTACCAATCCATTTATTAGGAAACACTTCATTAAGGTAATCTCGAGTAACTACCGCGAAGTGAGCTGGGGCTCCATCTTGTTGAAACCAAACTTGTTCAAAAGCTGGTCCAAGAATTTCTTGGATACGTGGGACCACTTGCGTTCGTAATAGATGCAGATAATTTTCAGCATTTATGTTCCCTGCGATAAAAAACGGCCCAACAATATTTGGTCCAATAATTCCTGCCCAAACATTCAGTTTTTGTGGGTGTTGAGTATGCGAATCTCTCATCCAATGAGGATTAACATCCGCCCAATATCGCATGTTCTGACGATTGACAGATCCGCTCAGTTCAAAAGTAGCTTCGTCAGAAAAACAAATCCAACTGTAGAATTGATTGTTATCGTCATATCTCCTCATCATTTCATCGCAAAACTCTACTCTTCTGTCATAGTCATCTTCAGAGAGTTCTTGGACGAGTCGTATTTTAAACGGGTGGTAACCGTGTGACTTTAAAACTTTTGTAACGGATTTTCGGTCGATATCATATTCCTGAGCTATTCTCGAAGGAGGATTGTGCGGATTTTCAATAATATTTTGGAGAACCTGTATAGACCCGTCATCGTTAGTAGCTGTTTTTGGTCTACCCGATCTTCGTTCGTCAATAACTGAACCAGTTCTCTGAAATCGTAAAACAGTTCGATGGACAGTAGATTTTGAAATAGGATCACGATTTGGAAATGTGTTATTAAACAGCGTGGCAACTTCTTCATAGGATCTCATTTTATCACCACATCCTCGCATTATAAGAACATGAATACGCTCTGTATCAGTCAAACGCATTTTCGAATGAATTATTGAATCTAAATTGATTTCGATCTGCACCTCTCAAAAAACAAGCAAAAGTACACGCATGCACGCATGTAATAATTGGATTACTTTTAAAATACGACTCGTCCAAGAACTCTCTGAAGATGACTATGACAGAAGAGTAGAGTTTTGCGATGAAATGATGAGGAAATATGACGATAACAATCAATTCTTCAGTTGGATTTGTTTTTCTGACGAAGCTACTTTTGAACTGAGCGGATCTGTCAATCGTCAGAACATGCGATATTGGGCGGATGTTAATCCTCATTGGATGAGAGATTCGCATACTCAACACCCACAAAAACTGAATGTTTGGGCAGGAATTATTGGACCAAATATTGTTGGGCCGTTTTTTATCGCAGGGAACATAAATGCTGAAAATTATCTGCATCTATTACGAACGCAAGTGGTCCCACGTATCCAAGAAATTCTTGGACCAGCTTTTGAACAAGTTTGGTTTCAACAAGATGGAGCCCCAGCTCACTTCGCGGTAGTTACTCGAGATTACCTTAATGAAGTGTTTCCTAATAAATGGATTGGTAGAAGAGGAACGATTGAATGGCCGCCCAGATCACCGGACTTATCACCGTTGGACTACTTTTATTGGGGATACTTGAAGAGTAAAGTGTTTGAGACAAAACCTACCGATATTAATGAATTGCAAGCAAGGATAATAAATGTTTCTAATTCAATCACACCAGAAATGTTGCGAAATGTGCAGGATAGTATTTACATACGTATGGGTCACTGCCAAGCAGTGCACGGGCATCAGTTTGAACACTTAATACATTAAATACAACACACACACACACACAC